CTCTCTCTCTCTCTCTCTGGTCTCTCTCTCTAGTCTCTCTCTGGTCCCTCTCTCTCTCTAGTCTCTCTCTGTCTTCTCTCTCTGGTCTCTCTCTGGTCTGTCCTGCTCTCTCTCTGGTCTCTCTCTTCTCTGGTCCTCTCTCTCTCTGGTCCCTCTCTCTGGTCCCTCTCTCTCTCTGGTCTCTCTCTCTCTGGTCTCTCTCTTTCTCTGGTCTCTCTCTGGTCTCTCTCTGGTCCCTCTCTCTCTCTAGTCTATCTCTGGTCTCTCTCTCTGGTCTCTCTCTCTGGTCTCTCTCTCTCTGGTCCCTCTCTCTCTCTAGTCTCTCTCTGGTCTCTCTCTCTGGTCTCTCTCTCTCTGGTCCCTTCCTCTCTCTGGTCTCTCTCTCTCTGGTCCCTCTCTCTCTGGTCTCTCTCTCTGGTCTCTCTCTCTGGTCTCGCTCTCTGGTCTCTCTCTCTGGTCTCTCTCTCTCTGAGGACCTCACAGCTGATGGGTTTGTTCAGCTCATCTGTCTGAAGCAGCTCTGCGGGTGAGACGAGCCCACCCAGCAGGAGGCTTCATTAGCCCGTCCCTTCCCCCTCCTTCCCCCTCACTCCCCCCTCTCTCCTCCCTTCCCTCCCCCCTCTCCCTCTCCCCCCTCTCCCCCCTCTCACATCTCTGCAGACTGCGGAAGAACCTAATGAGAAGATTCAATCACACTGACAGCAACTTCAGTCCCACTAAGTCACAGAGACACACAGGACCAGGAAACACCATCAAACAAACACCGAGAGTTTGATGGTTTTACCCAAAAACAAAATCAAGAATTTAGTTTGGATCTGAGGCCGAGCAACAGTCAGACTGTACAACGAGACAGGACATACTTTTGTGATTCACTTTCTTACACAGAGAGAGGTTTTAGAGCAGCAACAACAGAGAGAGACCAGAGAGAGACCAGAGAGAGACCAGGGAGAGACCAGAGAGAGACCAGAGAGAGACCAGGGAGAGACCAGAGAGAGAGACCAGAGAGAGACCAGAGAGAGAGACAAGAGACAGACCTGACAGAGATCAGAGAGGGACCAGAGAGAGACCAGAGAGAGACCAGAGAGAGACCAGAGAGAGAGACCAGAGAGAGACCAGAGAGAGAGAGACCAGAGAGAGAGACCAGAGAGGGACCAGAGAGAGAGACCAGAGAGAGACCAGAGAGAGAGAGACCAGAGAGAGAGACCAGAGACAGACCTGACAGAGACCTGACAGAGATCAGAGAGAGACCAGAGAGAGACCAGAGAGAGACCAGAGAGAGACCAGAGAGAGACCAGAGAGAGACCAGGGAGAGACCAGAGAGAGACCAGAGAGAGAGACCAGAGAGAGACCAGAGAGAGAGACAAGAGACAGACCTGACAGAGATCAGAGAGGGACCAGAGAGAGACCAGAGAGAGAGACCAGAGAGAGACCAGAGAGAGAGACCAGAGAGAGACCAGAGAGAGAGAGACCAGAGAGAGAGACCAGAGAGGGACCAGAGAGAGAGACCAGAGAGAGACCAGAGAGAGAGAGACCAGAGAGAGAGACAGAGAGAGACCAGAGAGAGACCAGAGAGAGAGACCAGAGAGAGAGAGACCAGAGAGAGAGACCAGAGAGGGACCAGCGAGAGAGACCAGAGAGAGACCAGAGAGAGAGAGACCAGAGAGAGACCAGAGAGAGACCAGAGAGAGACCAGGGAGAGACCAGAGAGAGACCAGAGAGAGAGACCAGAGAGAGACCAGAGAGAGACCAGAGAGAGACCAGAGAGATACCAGAGAGAGAGACAAGAGACAGACCTGACAGAGATCAGAGAGGAACCAGAGAGAGACCAGAGAGAGAGACCAGAGAGAGACCAGAGAGAGAGACCAGAGAGAGACAAGAGAGAGAGACACGAGACAGACCTGACAGAGATCAGAGAGGGACCAGAGAGAGACCAGAGAGAGAGACCAGAGAGAGACCAGAGAGAGAGACCAGAGAGAGACCAGAGAGAGCGAGACCAGAGAGAGAGACCAGAGAGGGACCAGAGAGAGAGACCAGAGAGAGACCAGAGAGAGAGAGACCAGAGAGAGAGACCAGAGACAGACCAGAGAGAGAGAGACCAGAGAGGGACCAGAGAGAGAGACCAGAGAGAGACCAGAGAGAGAGACCAGAGACAGACCTGACAGAGATCAGAGAGAGACCAGAGAGAGCCGCCTCACAGAGCTGCTGACTCAGACGGAGCAGAGATCTGACGACGCTTCTATTTCTTGCACTTTCAAGACGGAGGAAAAGAGAGAGCGGAGATTTCTCCCCTCGTCCTTCACGGATCTGCCCCAGATTTCAGACGTCTCTGTAACTTGTCCGTCTGTCTTTCCCGCTCTCTTTGTCTCCACTCTCCATTTCACAGAGAGAGAGAACAGAGAGAGAAACCAGAGAGATAGAGAGTAAGAGAGAGACACAGAGAGAGTAAGAGAGAGACACATAAAGAGAGGGAGAGAGAGCAAGAGATAGACAGGCAGAGAGAGAGACTAAGAGAGAGACAAGAGAGAGACAGAGAGCGAGAGTGAGAGACCAAAGAGAGATCAGAGAGTCCAGAAAGAGACAGAGAGTGTGAGAGAAACAGACAAAGAGAGAGACAGAGAGAGAGAGAGAGTGAGAGAGACCAAGAGAGAGATAGAGAGAGAGACCAGAGAAAGACTAGAGTGAATATTTGGTGTGCGCCCCCTAAAATCCTCCCCTCTGTCCTGAGATCTGACCCAGTTTTCAGACGTCTCTGCGTGGCGTCTGTCTCTCTCTCTCTCTCTCTGTCTCTCTCTCTCTCTCTCTGTCTCTCTCCATTTCACAGCTTTTGTCGGAGGTTTCGGAGTCGGGAGATTGGAAGCGGCACGTCCCTGTCATCTCAGCGCGGTCCGATAGCTGCTGCGCTGATAAGGACGAGAGAGGCTGATGAATAAATCACTAAACAATCCATAAAGTCACAGAGAGCGGCTGTTGGTCTGTGTTTCAGGAGAGAGAGAGAGAGAGACCAGAGAGAGAGACAGAGAGAGAGACCAGAGAGAGACCAGAGAGAGAGAGAGAGACAGAGAGAGAGACCAAAGAGAGACAGAGAGAGAGACCAGAGAGAGACCAGAGAGAGACCAGAGAGAGACCAGAGAGAGACCAGAGAGAGAGAGAGAGAGAGAGACCAGAGAGAGAGAGAGAGAGAGACCAGAGAGAGACCAGAGAGAGACCAGAGAGAGACCAGAGAGAGACAGAGAGAGAGACCAGAGAGAGACCGGAGAGAGAGACCAGAGAGAGACAGAGAGAGAGAACAGAGAGAGACCAGAGAGAGAGAGAGAGACAGAGAGAGAGACCAGAGAGAGACCAGAGAGAGACCAGAGAGAGACCAGAGAGAGACCAGAGAGAGAGAGACCAGAGAGAGAGAGAGAGAGACCAGAGAGAGACCAGAGAGAGACCAGAGAGAGACCAGAGAGAGACCAGAGAGAGACCAGAGAGAGAGGGAGGGAGAGACTAGAGAGAGACCAGAGAGAGAGGGAGGGAGAGACAAGAGAGAGACCAGAGAGACACAGGAAGTAGATCTCATCATTAAGTACAATGTAAATTGTAAATATTCACTGATTCTGAGTCAGTGGCGTTACAGTTGTGGAAACTTCACATCAAGTGGTGAACTTATGGAGTCTCTATTTTGCTAAAAATTGTGTCAATTTTGAGGAAAATGCCTAAAAAGGAATAAAAGAAATGCGTTAGCATTAGCATTAGCCTGACACAGCTGACAGTCGTAGTCTTCACTCTCTGACTTTCATTGGTATGCAGTATCTTTGTGTGTCTCAAAGGTGATCAGAACTGTCTCAGACGTGGTTCTGCTGATCCCAGATCTGCTGCTGTGACTATAACAGCCTTAAAGCTGCACTAACTGACTTTAGTTTTGTAATCGTTACTTAAATTCAGTCCATGCAGTGCTTTGGGATAAACGTCCTTTTGAAGAAAAAGTAGTGCAGGTTTGTACTGGAGTAACATTTTATCGAGTTTTCGTGAAACAAGGAAGAGAATGTGTTTAGAGTCCAGATTGTGACCAATCACAGCGCACCACTGGCCCCTGGTCTGTGGTCAGCACAGACAGCTGAGGTAAACAAGCGGCGGAGGCTAACCTGAAACTTCCCGTGTCTTTGTACGGGTTACTGCTTACTCAGAGAAACAGCCAAAAGAAAGTCTTGTTCCTCCGCACTTCCTGGTTCTATCGTTCTATAGTCACGTCTCGTTCATATGTGTGATCCATGTGAGACGTGAGCTCGGTCAACAACAGTGGGTGTGTGTGGGGGGCGATAGCTTCGTGGGTGCGGGGAGGGGAGCAGAGAGAGCGACGCCTGCGAGTCTGCGGCTTCAAAATCCCAAAGTCAGTTAGTGCAGCTTTAATCCTCCTCATTGTTGAGAACTGGACTCACTCAGACTAAAAACCTTCGTACGCTGCAGTGGAAACAGTTTTCACTCATAATAAGAGGAACTAAGAAAAGCTCCTGTGTGTGTTTTCTGCATCACTCACACTGACGAGGGTGAGACCAGGCTAATGCTAACTGAGAGGACATCATGTTGCCATGGATACTGACATGCTTTATAGGTATAAAAGAAACTCTGTATGTACAAACTTTAATCATCTCAGAATAAAAGAAAAAACTTATATCTTCCACATCGGAGCCTCCTTCTACAGAACCATGGTTTATCCACAAACATAACTCTTCATCTTCTTCATCGACTCCTTCTGCCTTTCTCTCTTTTCTCATTTCTTCTTCTTTTGCAGCGTTTTTCTCGTGGAGCTTTTAACCTTTCTTCTAAAACAGAACAGAGCGGAGCAGAGATTTGGAGGTGAGCTTTAGCCTCGGAGCCGCAGATAGAGTTTCTCCCACTCCTTCTTTGTCGGGGCCAATTTGGAGCCATAAGCCGCGCTTTGTTCCGGAGGCGCTCTCACTTTCTCCGACTCCGTCTCCAAAGAAGCTCCCGGAAAAATGAGCAAATTACTCTCAATTCAG